CTGGAATACGGTGGATATTAAACCAGTGGTCAGTCACTTGCCTAATGTGCCTTTTCTATCTAAGCTACGTGCAACACTCAGATAAGAGGTGACCACAAATGGAGCTTGCCTACTGATGCTTGAACAAACTCCCTTGGACTGAGAGATAAGGGAATGGGGCCATAATGGGGGTCAACAAAAACTAGACAAGAGAGGAATGACCACGACACAGGAGAGTGTGTGTATATGTGATTCTTTAGTTCTGAGAATTGTTGGCGTCTCCCCACACATGCACACACTCTCTCTCTCTCTGAATCATGCCGATAAGAAGTTCACCCCGCCTCTGTCTCTGGAGCATTTAAAGCATCCTGCTCAGGGTGTCTGGAGCAGTCTGGAACAGGGCCAGGCTAGTCAACTCTCTACCCCCTCCCACTCGCTCATTCAGCAGGGGCAGGGGTAAACAATGAAGGCACACATGAACGCACACACACACACACACACACACAAGGATAGAAGTGGGGCACGGATGCCCAGCACAAGGCCTGCTGCCCCCCGGAGGCCTGGACAGGCTGCGGAACGAAGGACAAAGGCCCGAATGCTGTACATGCAGCAGCCACAAACGTGGGAAAGTGCCCATCACTCTCCTCTTATCTGACTAAGGAATGTCAGCTAGTCATCCAAGATATGCCAAATGCATTCTGATGAAAGAATAGGAGTCAAATATTTATGAAGAAAGACGAAGGTAAAAAACAGAGGTGAAGGATCAATCATCATAGGCAAAAGCCAAAAATAAGTCTATGTTAACTTCTAAAGACAGTGAAAATGAGATACAAAATCACATCATGTAAGGAAACTGTATTCACTCTCTACAAGGTGAGCGAACTGCCTGCTCATATGCACTGCCACTCAAAAGTTTAGACATGCCCAACACTAGAAGGTTTTTCACATTTTTAATAATTTTGATGAGTAGCAAAGACAACATAAATATGAAGGAAAAAATAAGTAATTATACAGCGACCAAAAAGTTTATTTTAGATTCCTTAAGAAACTAGCTCCCCTTTGCCTTGATGCAGCTTTACACACACTTGATCATGGACTCAAGCCATTTAATGAGGAGCCCCTAAGACAGTTTTCAACAGGACTGATGAAGGGAATTTAAAAATTACAGTACTGTAAAAGTGCAAGACTGAAAGTTTCTGAGGAGGATTAGATATAAGATCTAAGATCTAATGCAAAATGAAGTGGTAAAGTCAAAGGAAAATAAGTGGAAAAAACAAGTGTTTACAAAACTGGAGTTCAAAAATGAAAAAAATTAAAAGATTTTGAGAAAATGGGACTTCAAACATCCACGCAAGAAACTGAACTACCAAAACTGAAAATTTGCAAAAAAGCTGCTAGTGTTCTCAGAACAATGGACTGAACACCCCGGAATCCACAACATATCAGTGAACGTATTTGGGATTACTTGGATCACGAGAAGCAGAAAATAAAACTAACTTCTAAGACTGAACTTTGGAGGTGAGAAAAATATCCCTGAAAGCAAGTCTTCTTAAAAAAATTAAAAAAAAATGGAAACTGTAATAAAAGCAAAGGGTAGAGACATTAAATATTGGACATTTTCAGAGTGTATTTAGTTGTTGAGGAGTTGTTCAGTTGTTGTTATTTTGTTTCATTTTGTTCATTTTTTTCTATTGCAAAAAAATTCATAACTTGTACTTTTGCACAGTACTGTATATGTTCCAGTATTTCATTTTTGCATCTGTGGGTTTGTCTCTGGTAAAATTGTTTTTGTGAGTTTTTGCCATATTTATTATACTTAGCTTGCACTTAATGGCTATTTTGACTGGAAATAAAAAAAATTAACACAGGCATCAACGTCACTATTTACATTTGCTTTGGATGTAAATTCTTTTGCATTTTGGCATTGCACTCCAGTAGCATAAGCATACTTTGTACACAGTGTACTGCTTTAAAAGAGTCTCCCATGGACAATCGTGTCTTGAAGCCTATTTTATAGATGCTTTTTTTTTTTTTAATTACTCAAGATTTTCAGTGGACAGTCAGTCGTCAATTAGCCTATGACTAGAAGTAATCGTTGTTGAATCAAAGTCAAGGTGCCACTAGCAATCAAAAACAGCAGTGTTGTGCAGTGTTGATGAAGATACTATTTAGACTTGGGCATCTACACTGCTGTTAGTGACTTGATTGCACAGAAAAGTCTGGAATGAGGAAAACCTGGGATGAAAAATGACACGGCACGCCACAACCAGCAAAGATGCGGCAAACATCTGCTTTGTGATATGACCCTGTTTGTTTTGGCGGGACTCCTCCAATATCCCACTGAGCCCCTAAGCACTCTTCCCTTCCCATGGTAGCACATTTTCTGGCACTGCAACGCTCTTTACAGGCCAGCCTTGGACTTCAAACAGGACTTCTCCTACCTCTGCCATTCCAACACACAAGCATAGCACTTTTCCCTCTGCTCATGTTTTGTGTAGTAGAATAGTTCCTTAAAGAGTAAGGCTGATTGCGATAGCACTATCTCAGTTCTCTGTGCAAGCACATGACTATCAGATCTGAAAGATTAGCAGGATGTTAGCAAACAGCTGGAATGCTGTCTTCCACAGTATATCTCAAGAGAGAGAAAGATTACTATACTGCTTACTATTCTCAAAGGAGCAATGCAGGATCCAGCACTCTAGCCCTTATCCAAGATTAATCGAGCTTAGATGATCAGCCAAGTATGCAGCCTTTTGCACAACACAACTTCATTTCACAGCGCTGTATTGTACACTGCTAGGCAGCTTTCTTTTCATGCATTTGTTTCTTGTAAGCTGCGCCATTACACAATTTGTCAAAGCGTGTCCTGTACAAACTATTTCACACAATCAAATCACTGCTGATGTGGCAATGTGTGTTTTATGACCTGCTCAATATCAACTGCACTTGTTGAATGTGGAGTAACCACACTTTACCACATGTAAGGGAGTGTGTGTGTGTGTGCATTGTATGTATTGAGATTATAGAGGATTGTTGTTTTTGGCAGCTGTTGGAGGGTCAATGTTATCATTCACGTAGTCCAAGGAAGGGAGTGGATGTGCGCTCTGGTTTGTTGGCGCCAGGAGCCACAACAATGGGCCCCCTGCACACTGGATCGGGGCATGTGCTCCAAAGACACACAAATGAACAGTCTTAAATCAGTTGTGCTCAGGCAAAAACTCACAAAAACTATTTTACCAGAGACAAACCCACAGATGCAGAAATGAAACACTGGAACGTATACAGCACTGTGCAAAAGATCACTCTTCCTTCATTCATTTCAATTTCTGTAAAAATTTTCATTCAGTACAAGTTATGCATTTTTCTGCATCTGAAACTAAAAAACAAAAACACATCCAACACAAAACGACACAGATGCCTTAACAACTAAATACAATTTCAAAATGTCCAATATTTAATGTGTCCACCCTTTGCTTTTATTACAGTTTCTGTTTTTTTCAGGAGACTTGCTTTCAGAGATATTTTTCCACACCTCCAAAGTTCAGTCTTAGTAGTTGGTTGCATTTTCTGCTTCTCGTGATGCAAGTAAACCCAAACACATCTAGTGATCTTGAGGTCTGGACTCTGGGGTGATTAATCCATTGCTCTGAGAGCAGCAGCAGCTTCTTTGTTTGATTTCTTCTTGACAGCTACACATTCTTTCAGACTCGTAGCATAAAGATGTCTTCTCACAATGGAAGAATGGAGAGAAAGACTTGTGCATTTTTTTCAGATCTGAAGATAGAGTAGAGCTAGACTTTCTAGATCTCTCAAAGATGAAAGCTTTAAGTACTATTTACCTGACGGTGGAAGTTTTGGTGGTGTATCAGGTCTGGCATGGTTTATAGGAGTCCCATTTTATCTGTATCTTTTAACTTCAATATTAATTTTAAATATGTCACTTATTCTCTTTTTGACTTTTCCCGTCCATATGAAAGTAGATTATCTCTAATCTCGTCAAAAAAAATCTCCTGAAAAATTAATAACTTCTATTTCACAATTGCTTTGACTGTAAATTAAATGAATGAAAGATGGTCTCTGACGTTTGCACAGTACTACATCTGTCACGAATGTATTGCTCATGACCACTTTTCACTTCCACTGGCAGTTCTGACACTACAGGACAGAACATCATGCACACTGTATGCCTAAATCATCTCACGCCTGCTTCAAACTGTGTCAGGTAATCTCAAGCAGACTTGCTTATAAAGATTCCAACTCTGGCCAAAATGGACAAAAATGAGTTGTTTATACTATGTGAAACACGTTTGGCCATTTCTAAAAACAGTATAACATACAGCATCAGGAATCACATAAGTGAGTCTATTTGAAATTGCCCTGAGGCAAGAGCATGATTATTTAGGCATACAGTCTGCGTGACAGTAACTGGTGGAATATAAGCATCCATTACTTGTTTGCTACTCTTAGTTTCAGTGAAAACTACAACAAACATGTCTTGGCTGATCGATTATGTTTGGGAGAAAGGGGAATTTATGTAAATTTAGTTTTCTGCTAAACTATTGTTTGGATTCAACACTAGAACCCTTTGAGCTTAAACTGTTTCCACTAAAACACAGCAGTGTGCATGCCTACCATACTGCGTCACTAAATTCAGAGCTGCAAGACTTAAAGACCATTCAATGAAGTCTTTATGTGTGCCACACAAATTACACCACATTCCAGCGCATTGCATTCCAGAGCACAGAGTGTTAGTGATTAGTGTTTTAGGCTGAGCTATCAGAATCGTATGGAAGTTCTCAGAGGTAGGCCATGGAAATTACCCTGGCACCCTCTATTGGCTGTACAAGGAAGGACAAAACCATAAAGACCCCACAGGCAACATTAAAATTTTCCCTCTGGAACTGGATAATGAACAATTCCTAGTACCATGAGACCCAAAAGAACAGGCCATGTAATTTAAACTCAATTTGTGTCTGGAAGACTAGCCTAGAAGATTTCAATCATAATAAATGTGCACGATATTGAAAACAAATGGTATTTTTTAATAAACATTTTTCCCAAACATTCTTTGAAACAAAACAGAAGGTCTAAAGAGTAGCCTGATGGGATCCAATCTTGGCCAGAAAAAAACCTCTGCAAAGCAAAAATGTTCCACCTTCTGCTTGCAAGAGAGTAAACGTCCACGCTGCCAAATTCCTCAGCATGCATTGTTTGTTGGGCCTCACGGCTCTGGTAGCCAGGGTTACCAAATACCAATCGCAAAACCGCTGGACCCAAGCCTAGCTAAACATACTTCCAGCACTTAGTAATCTGAGTAAAGGAAGAGGGAAGGAAAAAGAATGGGGGGGAAAAAGCACATTCCAAAACAAATTTGATCTGGAATATTCTTTATTCCCCCTGTTGTACCTCATTATGAGTGAAGGAGGGTTTTCTCCCACCCTGCCTCTTCTGTATCACTCTGTTGATAAAATATGACTTTTTTTTTCTCTGAGCTACATCAACACTGGTCTTTTGGCAATGTTTCCGAGTGCAGGATCCCACACGGATGACATTAACATACCATAGCTGTTCTCATGATGTACAGTGCTGCTGGGGGCAACATGACAGCGCTGGCATGGCCTGAACATTCTTGTGGTGAAACTCTTGTAAATATACTTGGGGGACCTGTGAAAGGACATTAAACAGAGATGAAGCTGTGTGCACGTGTTGCCGTACTTGACGTCAGCTATACATTGCTGTACAACACTTCCCAAAACTTTGCCCTCTGAGAATAGGTCTAATTTTTCACGTGCAGACAGCCTTTCCCCCAAAGCTGACAAAGAGAACAAAAATCCACAAAAACACGTCCCCTCCCATAATCAGGACACCACGGACTATCAAAACAAGCTCATTTAATTCACCCATCATTGACTCTTCACTATGTCAGATCAATTTAAAAATTATGCCACACATCAGTTAAATATACATACAGACAAATAAAAACAATGAACAACAAGAAGAGACAGGCACTGCAAAAATTTGTCTTTTGGAAACCAATTCTATTTCTAAAGTGCTCAAGAAAAAGACAGGAGAGAATAATCAGGACACAGAAGACCTAGCAATATAACGACAAACGTCATAGGCCATAATGCAGGTCCAGGCCAAGGCATGCATGTATGAGTGAAGGGTCATCCTTCGTTAGTGCAATAATTGCAGAGGTATTCAGCATGGATGAGACTGTGCTGTGTGTACCTGCATGGGGGTTACCAGATGTCCTGCAGTCAAAATCCGGTCCCATCTGCTTTGGCTTGCCTTTTTTTGCTTCATTTTTTGGCAATAAATATATTTATCATCAACTTAGCCACGTAATGCAAATGAAAATTTTAGCACCAGTCTTAAAAGGCACCTGGAGACCCCGCTGCGTGTATGTACAGGGTCAATGTGTATTGTGAGGGCTGCCGTCTTTGCCCAGATACTTGCGGACGGTCTTGGCATTGTCCTGCCTCATGCTTTGGATGTGAGCATCCAGCCTTTGCAGCAGTTCCTGTGAGCGCAGCGTCTCCTCCTCCAGAAAACGGGTAGCCACCGACCCAGGTGAAGAACTGGCACAGTGATCCTGCACATGAGACAGTGAGAGAGAGGAATTAAGGAATGCACCGTTTTGCTTTGTAAACAGCTCCATAAACACTTAAGCTAAATATGCCACTCATTCCAATTCATGCACATTTGTTTTATAACACAGTACAGTGCAAGAGTCTGAAAATGTATCATCATGGATGAGTCATCTAAAAACGTATCCTTACAATTTATTTGATTCATGCTATTTAAATAGGCAACTGATTTTCTGTTAAGAATTCAAAATGCCACTTTGCTTCATATTGCTATATATATATACATAATATATATATATATATATATATATATATATATATATATATATATATATATATATATATATATACACACACACACACACACATTCCTCATATTGCTAGTGTGTTACATGTGTTTATTTAGACCACAGTTAGAGGCTGAGGTTAAAAAAAGGCTGAAAAGTACTGGCCATCGGTCATCAGCCAATTTGGCTGTAAAGAAAGAAGAATCAGCTATAAAAACTCCAAACATGAGTTCCCCTAGCAGTTATCAACCAATACTTGATTAGGCAAATCAATAGATCATTCTTCTAATAAGCTCACAGTATATCTATCACTGTACTGAAAATCTTGTTCTTTTTAATGTGTTAATGTTTACTCTTACTTATTTTAATGCTACCCAGAATTCTAAATTTGCTTCTGTGACTGACCAAAGGTAGAGGGTCACCAGAAGAGCCCGAAGCCCCTGCTTTCTCCTCATTAGCCGCTGCGCTGAGCAGGACCGCTATCCTGCGGGCTTTATTGGCTGAGGAAGATGAGGAGCCAGAGGAGGAAGAGGAGGGTGTGGGGGAGGCGTTCGGCCTGCTCTCCTGTGACTGGCCGTCAGGGCGGTGAGGTGAGGAGGTAGACAGGACCTCCAGCTGTTTGACGAGCATCTGGATCTGGTGCTCATAGCGAGAGGTACTCTCCTGCATGCGGGCTTCCATGGCCTGCAGGTCTGCCTCACATCTGCAACAAAGCACAACAGGAGAAAGTGACTTTGCTGCCTCTACTCTGTAGTGCACAGTGAGTAGAGGAGCATAATAAGGCTGTACAGGCATATATAAATGCATCAGGATGAATCAGTCTGCAGGTGATGATTAAACTGCAGTCACTGCTTGGCCAACATAAAAATTTGTGATTGTCTATATTCCAACAACTTACAAATCAGGGGTTCTTAAACAAACCAGCTCACCAAAAGCTCCAAATAATACCTGACAGGATAGCGCAAGTTACTGTGCAGTGACAATAATGGCTGTTAGATTACAAATAAATAAAATATAAAATAATATGCTAAGAAAAATTTTAAATTTATTTATCAAACAAACAAAAAAAAGTTGCAATTAACAAATTCAAAACATCAAGTCAAAAGTGCTTTTTCATTACATGCTCTGTGAACGTAGAAAGAGGGTAAGGACGATTATTTAATCATGTAACCTTGTTATATTTCTTTTATCTAGTGTGTTTGAAAAACAACACTGTCATAAACAGCATATTCCCATCAACTTTTACAGGAGCTAAATCCATTGAAGGGGTTCCTCCCAAAGGTATTTTCAGAAGGAAGTGAAGTTTTTCAGATGGAAGTCCATTGTCTGAGGCACTGCTTCTGCTAGAACAGCATTAATATTAATTATTATAATTCCTTCAACAAAAATCAAACTCAGTGTGGTAGTCTGAGTTCAGGCAAAGGTAGTCACATCTCTCATCATATGGCAACCCAGCACAAACACTTCCACAACCTAAATGGGGTCACAACTGCTAGTTCAGATTTGTATCTTAGCGGCTATGTGGTTGGTGCCCCCTTGTGGTTTGACTGCCAGAGAAGTGATGCCAACTGGCTCTAATATTCTCTGGAATCTAAGGGGATTTTTTTGTTTTTTGCATATCTTCTTAAATTTTTTTCTTTCTTTCTTTAAAAGGCACTTGCATATAACAATAACCATGTTTCATATCAAAACGCTCCGTTATGTTTGTTGCCACTTTTCAAAACTGTTGCAGCAACTTTCAACTCTTTGCATGCCATTTCACAAATTTCTGAAATTGGCTGAATGATGAATGAAGGGTTTAACGACATGATGGGCAGGTCCTTAGTGATTTCCTGTTCATTAGTCAGTTTCGCACAAAATGTAGATGGACAAAAGCATCCACCACTTACACATGGTGAGAGGCAGATGATGTGTATCTCAACCCCTTTTTTTTAGCCTTATAACTCCAGATGTGAGTCACGTACAATCTCCCGATAACATGGAATTGAAAAGCGCACACTACAGATTTAGGAAATGTTTAAACCGTGTTTCTGCACTGTTTTATCGCCAGAGGGTTAAAGACTGCTACAAATTCCTTACAAAAAAAAAAACACCCCCCAAAAAAAAACAAACATTTGTAGGTTAGGCAGCATGCAAGAGATCAGAGCGTGAATTAGTGTTTATTGCATACCTGTCATGTGCTTGGCTGCTCCTGCACTGGCTCTGCTGCAGGGCTCTCTCATACTTGTCTTGCCAGGTCTGGTTGCTGGCTTCCATGTGGGCACGGAGCTCTGCCAGCTCCTGTCTCAGCTGCTGGTTCTCCTGCTCCAGACTGCTCAGAGATGACACATAGCTGTCCCGCAAACTTGCCAGCTCCCCATCAGCTCTCTGAGTGAGGGAGAGAGAGAGAGAGAGAGAGAGAAAGAAGAGAGAGAGAGAGAGAGAGAGAGATGAAGAGGAATGAGAATGAATGAACAAGCTTCTGTGAATATCAGACAAAGGATGACAAACTCAAATGTGCTACACACCCATGATAAACAACAACAACAACAACAACAACAAAAAAGAAATGTAATAAGTAGTAAGATATATGTGATGGCAATGTGCACCTTTGGGGATCGAGACTCAACCCTCTCCAGGAGATCATTTAGGTGCTGATTCTCAATCTTCAGAGTTTCTAGCTGAACCCGTGTCACCTACAAAAGGCAAGACATTGAACTTGATCTACTGTTCTGTGTCACAGCCCACAAGAAGTATCCATAGAAGTGTCAAATGAACCTCCACAGATGCTCCAGGACCAGAAATTTAACTGAAACTAAGGGACAAATCTTTTCCAAAAATATATTGAATTTAAATGAGACTAAAGCCCTATTCAGACTGAATTTGCTTTACATGGGGAGGTGGGCTAATGTAATTATTATATGTTTCGCAGTGATTTTAGTCCTGCCGAATGCACCATGGCAGTCATTTTTACCAACTGCAAGCTCCTGTGTCAGTAAAGATTCTGGCACCTTTTACCTTCTAAAAAACAAGCTGTAGAATTAACTTCAGGTTATCTCAATCCTGTGCAAATCAACATGTAAAAACGCTGTTATATTCTGTGGAAAGGGAGTTTCTTAAAAATGCAAGCACTCGAAAAAGGGCTTCAAAGTCAAATTTTGTAAAATTTTTCTGTTACACCTTAAATAGTGCAGCAGTTATTATTATAACACCTGAGGTGCCAGAATGTAACTGATGCACCATTTAAGGTAAAACGGAAAAATTCGAACAAGAAGCTGCTGAATAGGCTGCTGGCTTAAGCCTGTGTTCTCTGTGGCAAAAATCAGGCTTATATGTAATGTTACTGTCCTACTTCACGTGTACAACTCAGAACATGTAAAATTACAGAAAAAAAATGTGCTTTTATGTGGCGATGCTGACTGTGGTGAATTTCTAAGCTAATGGCGATGCTAACGATGCACTGCATTCACTTAAGACAGGTAAATGGTTAGGGTAAATTAAATAATGGCTAAATTAAATGTTTAAACATCTTTTCTACCCTTTTCCACTCCCATCTCTGTCATTTAGACTGAGATTTCTTATCCCATGCGAATCGGTCAGAAACATTACAGACATTCTGAAGTAAACTGGCGCTACCCCACCTCCTCATGAAAAAACAATCCTGTCTGACTAGGGCTTAAGACTAAGTATAGCTTATCTAAAAACAACTATATAGGGAAATATTTCAAACAATATTTGAACTCCTGAAAAATACCACATAACTGCAATATTGAGACTGGTGGCTGATTAGTTTTTTGGAACAGGAAGGTGTACCTTGAGTTCTGCTGCCCTGCGTTCAGCCCGCTCCACCTCAGCCCGCAGCTGCCGCTCCACACCGGAGGCAGAGCCGGTGAGCGTGGCGATGGTGATGTCACGCTGATGTAGCTCATTTGTTAACTGTGAGACCTCCTTCCTCATCCCCTCTACTTCACCACAACGAGTCTGCTCAGCCCGCTGGAGCTCTTCACGCAGCTACATACACACACATACATACACAAAAATAAAACTTACCAACTTCATCTACCCATTGCAACAAGATATACCATCACTGATATTAAATATTAGATGTATTTCTGCCTTCTGTTTCATTACCCGTTTGACTTCAGTCACAGAGCGGGCATAATCCTCTTCCAGCTGTTTCCACTCCTGCTCTCTCCTATTTGCTTCTCCTTTCTGTCTTCGCATGCTTTCAAGCCTGGCAAAACAAAGTGCAAAACTATCAACATGACCTCCACCCAATCAACTTTGATTGTAATGCTTTTGCTAACATTTAGGGTAACAGTATTTTTGCTCGTAGTATTCAAATAATTACTTGTCTCGGAGCCGAGTAACTTCCGCTTTCAGGTGTTTCTCACAGGTTTGAGAACAGTGAAGTTTGGTGGTGACTTCCTCCAGCTCCTGCCTGAGAGAGTTCAGGCCTGGAGAAGAGTTCTTGGATGCCAGACACTCCTCCAGTGACCTGTGCATTAGAAATATAAACGCAATCGGTTATATAAGAATGTTAATTCCAATAAATAACAGATACAATATGAACAGGTAAGTTTGTCATTCAACAGTTTTTAAACTGCATGCATCAGGGCGCAATAGGCAATTGGTCCTGCTAGATAGGCCTACTTAATTAAGCATGTCACTAAAAATATTCTAGGCCTCATTTCAAGAGGATGATAGCACAACTACAACAAATGTACCATATCAAAAAGCAAACATCTGCAAGCGATGACAGACCATTTTGTTCATGTTCTCCAAGAGACAGTGTGATGCATGGTAGTGTGAGGAAATCACACATGGGTGTGCAAAATTACACAGAAGGATGTGGTGGATGGCAAAAGCTACTGGGGTACATAGAGTGAAAGCAAGCCCTGTTCACGGCATTTTTAATATTAAAAATTATACCGTTTTGGGCAGTTTACTTTGTGTATGTGCTTATGCCTGCTCCTAGCTATCAGTACTACTTTCCATGATCCGTAAAAGAAACAATTCTTAATATCGCGCCGCATTAATAGAGAATTCAGTTGATGGGTGCGCTCAAAATTGTGTACATGAAGTATTTTACAATGACTTTGAAAGCAAACCAGTCAATTAGATTCCAGAACCGGAACTATCCATTTTATAAGTGGTATAGTGATGGGTTGCATCCTTGATTTTAGGCTTGCCTTTGAATGATTAACGACAGACTAATGAGAGTCAGTTATTGGACAAAGGAATTTGCCAAAATTTACATTCTCAGAAGAAATACAAACAAACAAACAATAAATAAATAAATAAATAAACTCTCATCAACAGGGTCAAGCTAAAAGAAAAGTGGGTGCAGATGCTGGGTACCTGATGACTTGTTCTTTGGCTTGCAGGGCCTGGCTGAGGCGTGCAAGCTCACTGCGCAGCTGCTGCTGCTGGAACCCTGAGCTTCTCACAAATTGATCCTGAGCATCCAGCGTAGCTCTCAGTTCGTCCCTCTCCTCACTCAGAACCTAATCAGAGGCAAACACATGACATTCTCCATAAATCTCAGTCTGCAGTAAAATGCTCAACCAATTTATTATTAGAAAGTTGATTTAAAAAGCAAGCAAGCAAGCTTAAAGGCAATCTACCCTGATACCAGTTGTACTAACATTTACAAACAGAGCACTACGCATATATAATAAATTCTGTATATTAACTTGGGATCAAACCCATTACCCATTATCAATACTGAGTCATTATTTTTTGCTACTGCATTGGTTTCTTTGGTAAGCAACTATTGTTTGGTCTGCATGTGTATCATACTTTTCATTCTAAAATACCATTAAATCAATAGTAAAAACTATACCGTTATCTATATCACTGTTGGTAAACCTAAGGGCCAGTATTTGAGATATTATGGACACTGACATCAGTGAATCTCCATGATCAATTCTTGTGTCATCCATTATCCATCTCACTCTCTAGCTACCACCCCTGCAACATCCCTATCCCTTGTCCCTGTCCATCTGGCTCTACCTGTGCTGGAGCGTTAGCTGCGATGCTGCAGCTGACCTGCTGTTCCCTGCGCAAGTCTCCCAGCTCCTCCTGCAGCACTCGCAACCTCTCCAGCTCAAGCTCCTGTGCATGCAGAGAGTCCTGTGCCCGCTCCAACTGTGCACGCAAACGCTGCACTTCGCCCTGCTCCTGCAGCCGGCTTGCACCCTGTGACTGAGACCGAGAACAGGACATAGTTACACCAGAGCTTCAGTTGCCACAGAAAGATCTGAGTTTTTAACTACAAATTTCAAGACTTATAGGTCAACTATGATTTTTTACTTATATCTGATGTTTCTGCCTTGATGGTGACCCATTTCTGTCATTAATGTACACAGACTCCCACCCTGTAAGGACCCACATGTGCTCATTTAGACATGCTACGGACACTAGATGAGGATGCTGGTAAACACAAGCACAAAACAGAGCCATAAATTCCAATCTAATCATTTTAATCAGGGTTCCATTGTAAGGTACTAAATATGTATCTGCTCTAGAATGCCTATGGACACATGAAAATGACATACAGTCTTAAAAAAGATGATGCTTCAAGGGTTCTTTAGTGAAGAAAATGGTTCTATATAGAATCATGAGCACTCAAAGAACTCATTGCATGATGAAAGTGTTCTTTGCATCATGAAAGGGTTCTTCAGACTTATGGAGAATGTGCTGTAGATAGTACTATATAGAATCTTTTTGAAAATGGTTCTATATAGTACCTGAAAGAGTTCTCCTATTGTTACGGAGTCAAGCTTGTTACAATAGAAGAACACTTTACAAAAAAGTTCTATACAGAACCATCCATAGCACATTCACACACATTTTCCATCAATCTGAAGAACCCTTTCATGATGCAAAGAATCCTTTAATCATGCAAAGGGTTAAGTGCTCATGGTTCTATATCTTTACTAAAAATCCCTTGAAGAACCGTCTTTTTCCATAGTGTCTCCTCTTAAACTACTTCTTTTGTTTTTGCTATATACTGAAGACATTTGGGTATTAGATCAAAAGATGAATATGGGATGATACTTAAAATTTCAGCCTTTATTTCCTTATATTTACTTCAAGATGTGTTAAAGAACTTAGAACATGCCACAGACAGTAGAATCAGATAAGTAATTATAAGTAAATATCATTTAATATTTGGTTGCATATCCCTTGCTTGCAATAACTGCATCAAGCCCCAACCACCAAGACATTTAAAGTTATTGACTCTCACTCAAACTCACTTGAAAAATGGGTGGATTCAAATAAAAGGTGCCATGTTTTAAGTTGTTTAACACATCTAGAAGTAAATATCAGGAAATAAAAGCTTACATTCTGATCTACTGTCTCAAATTCATCTTTCAAGAAAGTCGTCAGTGGATAACAAATACAAAAGAATTGGCCCTGCTGTTCCAATACTTTCAGAGGAGACTGTACAATTAATTTGACTTTTTTCTCGTTTCACAGCTCTTATTTTTTAGAACATATTGTAAATACAGGTCTATTTGAATGGTATCAAAATCAGAGAAGAGTAACACTGGACTAATGCTTATTACATTAATCTAAGCCCACCTGTACTACAGTGAATTTCTCTGCCAGGCTCTTCCTCTGGGCTTCTAATGAAGCCACCTGTCTCTGATACTGCAATCTCTGCTGTTCCCATTCGGCCGAGCGTTGACGAAACTCCTGCAAAAACAAAGGAGGTATTTAAAAAGTTGAAGAAAACAGTAAATTTACTGATACTGTACAGGTGATATTTTCACCACAATCAGGCTCTTTCAAAAAGCATGACTGAACTTTGCAGTATCCAAAATTGTGCCAATACAGAAACACTCTTTAAGCATAGTATGGAAGGCTTTTGGTCCCATGTGTATTATGTAAGCTAGCATCTATTTAAAAGAAAAATGCACACAAACAAACACACACACACACAAAAAACAGTCATTACAGCATTACAGACTGTTTGGAAGGAGCAATGCTGATTTTGCCTGTTCTGAGGAATATTAATGAAGTACCTCCAGCTTGCTGTTCAGGCGTGAAACTTCACTCTTGTCATCCTCTCGGCTGCGTGCTCCTTCTCGTGCCTCCTTTAGCTGCTTGCGCTGAAGCTTTTCATAGCTGCGCTTCAACTTGGATAACTAGGAGAGGAATTTTCAAGTTTAACAAGTGATTAATGAATCATTGTCCAATCTTGTGTGCCATCTTTTGAAAGGTTTACCTCATCCTTCACGTGCTGCAACTGCCCTTCATACTTCATGACTAGTTCCTGTTTCCCTGCTTGCATCTCTTCAAGCTGTTTCGCAAGCAATCTGACCTGATTGGTTGTAGTATTGTAGAGAAGAAAAGTAAAGTAAGGTTCTTTTTGAGTTACTTTATGAGAGAAGTTTCGGGACCCTGGTCAAATTACATGTTTTGCTGATTTTGTAAGCAAAGAAATCAATACATCTGCATATAATAAACTTAAATATGACACATTTCTACCAAACGTAATGCATGATTACTCTTTATGTACTTAATTTAATATATTGGGGAAAAAATCTAAAATACGTATACACAGGAACACTTTAAACATGTGTCGTGCAAAAGCTGGGGTAAATCCACTAGTGTATTCTGAAATGGCATTAAGAAAGAAAGTAAAGGACAACTGTTGAAGTCAAGACAAGATCTGGAAAACTGAGATCTCTAAAACTGCTAACAGACTGGATGGGTATGCAAAGCAAAACCCCACATCAATGACAAGGACCTGGAGGAAGATTTGGCTGGCACAGGAATAGTGACGCACTGATTCATTAGATGGTTATCTTAACTGGGATATCACCACATAAGGTCAATGTCTGAAGTATGAAACACAAAACTAAAATAAAACAGGCATTCTGGAATCAAGCGATGTGGTCTGAAGAAAAAGAAATATAACTTTTGTGGCTACAATCACTTAAGGTTTGAAAAATAAAAAAGGGAGGTGTTTCAATAAAACAACACTGAGTTTGCTGTGAATGTGAGATGATCTATAAATATTTTTGAATCAGAAGCTTTTTGCAAGGAAATGTGGGGGGAAAAATAAAGAGACTGTTAACTGGCTACAACAAATGTTTGGAGGTTGTGATTCCAGCCAAGTGGGCCTTACTAAGTACTGATTAAAAGGGTGCCAAGAGTTGTGCACATGCCAAATTTTATTTAACTAATTAAACATATTTATAATATGTTTAATTCAGCAAATCAGTAATAATTGTCCATTACAATTTGCATAAATGTGTCATTTAAGCAAAATACTGTTAATCTATGCATGATTGATAATGTCTGAAGGCAGCATTACATGCATGAATAGAGATTTCACTCCAATATGCATGTTTTTAACTGCTGATTAATTATCTTCTATGAAGAGGAATAAGTGAGGAAATACACATTAATAAATAAACTAAACAATGAAAAAAGAACACCTATAACAGAAAAACATCACTATCTCTTTGGGTTATTTTGCATATTAGTTATAAAACTAATGCCTTGCTTGAACAGTCAAAAAAATACTAAAGGTTTAGTATTCCACCCACTCGCAAACTCTGATGCTGACAGCTTAAATGTTAGCACTTTTCAGAGTAATTATCACCTGCACATGCTGTTATCAGGAACACACAGATGGAGTGAGGCATCAGAAAATAAATCTTTCATTGTAGTAGCTGAAAGCTGGCTGGGCATGCTGGTAAGCACTTTGCCTGACAGCCCAGCCATCATGCAGATTCACCTGCAATAATCCCTTTTCCACTACCAGACTCAACTTTCGGAAGCCAGAGTCATGGAGCTCCAGCAGGGAGACAACAGCCTCTTTCACCATAAACATCTGCCAAGGTGAAGGCAGAGCATGAAGCCAAAGCGCCGTCTATTTGATGCCTTGCATTACTGAACCACCTTAGCTAGCTTTCAAGGTTTGAACAACATGTTGCAATGTGATTTTTAAAAGCACTGTGATTCACAGAGTAATGTTCAACAACAGAGAAAGACTTATAGCTAAAACTTTGCTTAAATATAATGTACATAAATTTAGAACTATGGAGTCTTTGTGTAAGAGTTAATTAGTGCTTTCAACCTCAGTCATGATTCTAGGGATGCAGCAAGGCATATCTGGGCTAAACAAAATATTCTTTTAAACATACTCATCATCACATGATTATGAAAGTACTTCCATCGTAAGCCAAATCTATAACTCTGTTGCATCTAATTCATTATTTACAGGTAGCATAATAACATAAGCAAGTTTTAATGATTTTTTGCACATGGATTCCAGAAGGTGCAGGTAACCATTCTGGAAAAAAGACAAGTAAGACCTCCAGGTAGTTTCATAGATCACCAACAGAAGGTAACCAGCATCATTTTATATTGGGTTCACTAACCTCAGAGTTTCTCTTGTCCAGCAGATCTTTGGCCGACTGGAGCTCTTCCTGGCTGTTTTGCAGGCGCAGCTCCATGGCTCTCACCTCTGCTTCCCACTCACTGCGCTTGTGATTCACCATGATATCAATCTGTCTCATTAGCTCCTGGAGTTCAGGCTCACAGGACGTTAGGACAGAGCTGGGGGAAAAAAAACTGAAGAATCAATCACAAATATGACTGCCTGTCAGCACCACTTTCTAGTGTTTTTCATGTCTGTTACACTGACCTCATGTCATGATCCTGAAGAGTTCCCAAAAAAGCATCCATTGTTGTCAGTAATTTACTGATGGCACCTTCATGACCGCAGGATCACGGTAACTTGGTCTACAGACATAAAACAAGAGTGATGATCAGCCTAGGAACATTTAAATAACAGACAGTTCCATTCATAAGAACTTAGACTACTTCATAAACATAGCCCTACATGAAGAACAGAACAGTTAACACAGATGGAGAGGAAAATATCGAAATCTAAAATAAGCTGCGACAGCTCACAAGTAAACTGGCTAAATTATCTATGGTTTCATTCTGTAAAGAGATAATGAACTGTTAAAAACGCTAACCTAGTTAAACTGCACTTTTCTATGGAGCCCCTAAGCGGTCATAGTGATTATTTTTAATAGGGCATGGCCACAAGTAACAGTTACTATATTAAGGGCACAAATTACTATACTGAGGCCACACATTACTATATTAACCAGGAGGTAAGTTTCTCATAACTTGTTGCCGCAATATATTAACTAATTTGTAGCCTCCATATAGTAATTGGTGGGCTCACCATAGGCACCTTACCTTACCATTTTTACAAAACAACGCTTTAACAAATTACCAAAACTTTTGACCAAAGTTTACCAGAAACAGCCACTCGAATGCTGCCAAGTTACTTTTAAGTCACAGATAACTAGCTAAAGATGTTTGGTTAATCGGCCATCTGACGCTAGGTAAATATAAACTTAGCTAGCTAACGTTAGCTAATCTAACAAATCTGTTCGGCTAGCTAAGTTAGCTAACACTACCGTTAAGGTTACTTATTTTTGCGATGTAATTTTAGGAGCATTGCGATTCCGAGGTCACACGAGTGACAGTAATGTCTGTTCAACAAAGGAGAAACACTTACGTCTAAAGCCATGATTAAATATACTGTAAACTTTGGTCCTGGTGGTCAACTACTTTGACTGTTTCGACAGCTGAAAGCTACAGTTAAGAGCCCCACAACAACGCTTTTCAAACGCAATGCAGCGTGGGCCACTGGGGCTGTGCTCCAATACACGTGCTTGTGTCCTAAGTAGCCCACTTAGCAAGTGCGTAGGATTCTGTCCATTGCTAACGAGTTTCGCCGCTGGCGGATTAACATGGTCATGGGCTATACTTTCTTGGAGACCTCTCAAACCTACCCCAGTGTGTTACACCAGAAAAATTAGATGTCCTAACATTTTATACGCTACAGGAATTAAAATACTTCATCATTTAACTTTAAACACACAAAACACTAGCACAATGCTGCCTGTACACAACCAGTGTATGACACAAGTCAACAAGCGGCTAATTATATGACCTATTCAAACAAACTGATCTAGACACAAGATAAAGTTTAGTAGTCGTAGGAAGCCTGAAAAAGTACAATGACATATTTTTGATGTTTTTTTTTCTTTCATAAAATCTCAAACAATAGTGTTGTGGTGGTGCCTCTGCTCACTGCCTTATATACACACTGCAAATAGTTCACTTTATTGTGCTCTATACTCAAGTGTTCAGGTTCAGCAGCTAGTTGTGTTTAAGTTGTGTAACGCTAAGTGGGCGTATATGATTTAAAAGAAAAAACAAAGAGCTTGGGTTCACTGCAGGTAGCTGTTGTTTTGTTTGTTTATGGTCAGCAGTGCTATCTTCTTTTTGTGAGTTTGAAGGGTGAATGTTACTAACAATACTTTCAAGTGAAAGTGCAGGGGAAGCTTGTTCACCTGTCTGGTCGCGTTTGTGAGGACTAAACAAATGGTTACGGCCTATTTCATGACAGCTTTTAACAAAAATGGGTTAAATGTACATATTTCAAAATGATCACCTTGCGGGGTTTCAGATTAGGTCTGCTGGTCCGCTGTGTTCCACCCTATAGCAGTGTGCTAACCAAGTTCAGAAAATAATGATGGCTTTGAAGTGCGCTTTGGGGTAGAGAAAGCAAGTGTGCCAAAAGGAACACAGCCGTCTTTCCCGTTTTGTTCAGTTAGCCAGCCGCCAAAACAGTGTCAGTGTGACTGAAGTAAGTCACGCGTGCTCTGCGGAGGAGGGGTTGTAGACAAATGTAGGTTATATTAATGCCAGACAGAATCTTAACATAATTATATAAGTATTTTGCTTGTAAATCAGTGCAGTGGAAGTTTACAAGTAGTAGCTGGCTAATGCTACACTGACTCTCTGTTAATTTAACTTTGTCTGAACGCTTTTAGCCCACACGTCTGGTCTGGAACTTAAGGTGAAAACGAGAAACAGGTCTAGTCGCTGTTAGCTAGTACAGACAGAGACGTGTAGATTTTGTTAGCTGCTGTAGCTAAGCTAGACTGCGTCTTTAGCTAGACTGTGTCTTTAGCTAGCTAACGTTAGAGGAGGTGTGGTCATAATGTGGCCTGCAGCTGTGGCTTAGACAGCCGGACATGGTGGAAATGGATAACGTAACATAATGGAAATGATAACTAACAGTAATGTGAAATAGTGGCTGAAGTAGTATGACATGTCTATGCGTCGAAGGTCCATATGGACTACAAATTGATTTGACTCCACGTGGCTCGTTGGTCTAGGGGTATGATTCTCGCTTCGGGTGCGAGAGGTCCCGGGTTCAAATCCCGGACGAGCCCACTGTTTTTGCGGTGACTGACTTGAAATCCGCTTTGAAGTCTTTAATGTACGGAAGGCGACTAAAAGCACTCGGGGAAATCCCGAAGTTGGAGTCAGTTAGGTGTGTAATGATTGACGTATCGTGTCGAGGAGGAAATACTTATTCTCATAATACGTAAAATTAATATAATAATTAGACACATGGAGGCCGTGTTTCAGACCGCTTATAATCTTTGTGCTGAGAATACTGAAGTATATGGCTCGTTGGTCTAGGGGTATGATTCTCGCTTTGGGTGCGAGAGGTCCCGGGTTCAAATCCCGGACGAGCCCGATGTTTTTCTACGCTGTCTGTTACTGTAATTGTACAGTTTTTCATTATAATGAACTGGCAGTTCTCAGTCCAGCTCTCTGAGAGGCCATCTAATCCACACAACTGATCACCCAACACACCTGAGTCTGGTGGTCAGGATATCTACACTGGTTTAGTAATTGGCTCATGTTTGTTGGGAGATGGAACAGAACACAAATCCGGAGTCCTGAAAAGTCTCCATTAAATACTGCAGTTGCAGAACGAACAAGCAGCAGGACATGAAAATGCCAATAAGCAAAGAATCCTTTAAAGCCTGGCAAGCTAAAGCTGAATACCAAATGTCTTAATAAACCACTAATTTAGATCACTGTGACTTGCAGTGATTTATAAACCACTAGTCTTCATTAAATTACAGATTACATTTTTCTTACATTTCCTTTTTGTTTTCACTTCAAGTGAAAATGACAAATTCTGTATGTGTAAATAGCTCTGCAATAAAGTAACCCATCATTAGAGGGCAGCACAGCCCAGCCTGGAGATTCTAGTCTTGGAACTGAGGTTATGAATTCAGCAATTTGTTTTTTTGTATTTTTCCACTCTTAAAGTGAACTGAAGTAAAAAGCTTTGGTTCATAGTTGGTTTGTGAGATGTTGCTTTGCGGCAACAGTGGAAAGAAATGATACAGAACATCGTAAAAGAAACCTGATTTTTAAAAAATCGAAATATTTGGAACGAAATTGAGTAACTGCTCAACTGGTTGATCTTTAAACACTATAAATGCCCCAAAAAAGAGAGAAAACTTCTGTTTCATGATTTCCTGCTCAGCAAACAAACATTTATGACAGCAAGTAACAATAAAACAATGCTAAAACATGAAAAGAATCAATAAAGTAATTCAATTAGGCTTTCATTTTCTAAACTGATGAGATTAGGAAACATACTGCATGCTATATTACATGACAACAGACTGGAATGGGCTTCTAGCCAGTAGTCCTGCATACACATTAATACTAAATAAAGCAAGTATAATAATATAAATAGTACATAAATGTAGTAAGTCTAAAAAAATAATTCTAAATGAAAAGCTTAACATCTGCAGTGCTCTCTCATGTGGCTGTGTAAGTGACACTTCCTTTGCTACTTGGTAAAACCACTGCACTGTTGACAATTGATTAAAAAAAATCAGTTTACACAAAATGATTGATGTGATTCTGAATGTTAAAAAATGAACTTTGCACTCTAACAGATGTGGGTTATATATTTGGATGATGAAAAATGATGAAAACTTGCTTTCCTGATGGAAATTGTATGGTACAGAACGGTTTAAAAATGCACCTCAGGAGATAGCGTGAGCTTTTTCTTGTTTACTCTAACTCTTCTATTTGTCATTATCAGATTTTAGAACTGGATCTGTTTTTATAATCTTGGGCTTTTGGAGCAAGAATTTCTACAGAAATTATCTGCAAAACCTGTCTATTATCTGTTGAGTATTGCCCCATAAACTGCACATCATTATGCATACCTGAGTAGAGCACTATTAAATAGTTCCTCAGGATTTGCTCCAGGGCAATGCTTTTAATGGTACTGGGTGTGCATTTCACAAACGCCTGCCAAAGAAAGCAAACGCCTGCCAAGTCTACCTGAGAAATTCCACTTTACAGCCGCTTACACAGCTGAAGTTACCAGAGATATATAAGAGTCCAAGTATAGACGCTGACAGGTTTATAGACGCAGCACAGTTTTACTCACTTATTGCAGTGTCTACATTTCAGTAGTGCCGTAAAAAGATATCTATTAAGGCTGTTCCTGTTTAAAAGGGCCCATTGGCTCAGTAGATGCTCCCAACCCCCAACTCCACCACATGCTCTCCCACCTGCTCCTGTCTGAAAAAATCAACAAAGGAAGCCTGTGGCTTCTGGAGAAAGAGCCCACCCCTTCCACTTTACCCTCAAACCAGACTGTCCTCAGGCCATCTTTCTGTTTGCTGTGCCAGTCAGCAGTGACGGAGCTATCGCACTGCCCCCGCAACTCAGAGCCTTTAAAACACACAACAGTCAGTCACGCTGACATCAGAGCAGCTTCTCTCTCTCACACACACACATACACACTAATTCTCTCTCGCTTGAGCAAACTGCTGCTGGAATAGCTCAGGAACAACAATCATCTGACAGACAGCTGGTGCTCACTCTGCTGTAAGTAGCCCATTATCTTCCATTTCTTTCTGATTCCTCTTTAACTGGGACATCTTAATAGTACCTTTCTGCCAGAGGTAGAAGTTGTGCATCGTTTTAGAGGACACCATAGACGTGGAAGGGTCTTTGATTGGACTAAAAAGCTTGGAAATATGAAGTCTAAGTTATCGCACACTGGGGCAATTTCGTGGACATGGCCTAAGCCTATTGGAGAGCAGTGTTAATGGTGTGTCACCATTAAAAATCCCATTTTGTTTCTTGTTAGGTTTAATCTGGGTCTAGAAAGCTGCTCCATTAAGTCTATATTACAATGTATATCTTTATATTTAGAACAATATAGCTGCTTAAAAGACATAATTTGAATGACTATGTAAACATCGTCTATTTTTGCAGATTTTTGTTATTTTTCTACACCGTTTGGACGTGGCAGAAGGCCTTTACACTGTGTAACAGTTTCATGATGAATGGACCAACAGAAATGCTCCAAATTTATCTGGAATAAAACTTTACATTAACTTACACTGAACATTAAGTAGAGGTGGGCGATATGGAAAAAAATAGAATATTGCAATACTTCAAGAAAATTTAATAATATTTCATTTGTCACAGTATCTATTTTTTCAGACTTCTGGTCATTTGCAACAGAGAAAAAGAACTAGCAGTGCTACATTAAAAAAAATACTATACACAATTGAATACAACAGTTTTTTATTCAGTATTTCATATACTGTGCTGCACTAAATCCAGTTAAACAGACTCATTTTGCTCTTTTTACAATGAAACATGCAGTTGGTCAGTGTTCTATGACTATTGACAATATCCATAATATGTTCAGAAAACCATGCTGTATTGTATTGTAACATATTTTATCTCGACAACAACACATATTGTCATATTGCCCAGCCCTAAAATTAAGACCATTTTTAGAAAAAGACTCTGATAAGCCCTGCAGTTTAGATTCACTAGACTTATCCAATTGTTGTCATTAAACAAAATTTACAGGGTTTGTCTTGTAGTAGAGAGCTTGTTTTCTCACACTGTTTATTTGCATGTGAATGACCAGAACAGGTCAAAGCTTTCCTCTGAGAGGTCAAAATCAAATGAATAATTCTGGACTAACAGGTGGCAGCCATGGGCAGGAAAATAGCATTATAATGGTAAACACTCGGTAGGGGTAGGACAGCCCTGCCATCTGCTCCTGAATTTCAATTATGATTTTACGGACACTTAATACAGAGCGGACAATTGGACGTATGTGAAGGATGTCAAGCTGAATAAGACAGAAGGCTCAGGTTCTCCTAGAGTGACCATCAGGGAAGGGATCTGGCACTTGACAGTGATAATTACTATATATATATATATACCTTTCTAACTGTACTGACAGTGAGGAAGACTGAGTCACTCCTAGGCCTGTCACAATTATTACATAACCACACAGTTAGTTAAGCTGACTGCAGTTATTTTCCTGTAATTAGCTTTCAGATTATACATTTACATCACGACAAACATGTGAGTCAGGTCTCCATTCACTGGGTTAAGGCACATGTAAAGAAACGACATCAGAAAATGCATTTAGACTAAAAGCTCTTACCTGTGCTATAAAAGCTTTAGAGCAATAGAGAACCAGACTGTTAAGGAGAAACTATCAATCTGTTGACTGTCTCTGTACTTTTTCAGGTTAAAGGAAAGGATAATAAACCCTATCCCATCTCGGCCTTCGTCCAGGCGAGGAACGCCTGCTAAACCCCCTACTTCCATTCCACATTCTCTCCCTGTAAGTCTCCTACTCCCTCTAACTAACATGGTGCTGTGTGAAGATCTGGAGTGTGGCGTGTGCTACCAGAGCTACTCCCGAAGCGAGCGAGTTCCCAGAATGCTCTTCTGCAACCACACGTTCTGCACGGCCTGCCTGGAGACCATGGCCGTGGAGCGCAGCAGCATGCTGAGTGTCCGCTGTCCACTGTGCCGCCAGGTGTCTTGTGTGCGCCGTGGTCATGGCCTGCAGGACGCCCTGTGGGTCAACAGCCGCCTGTGGGACTGCATAGCTGAGGATCCAGAGCAAGAGCAGGAGGAGGAAGGCCAGGAGGAGGAGAAGAGAAGCAGTGCCACAGCACAGGCCGTGCCTCCAGCACAAAGTGAATGGTGGGTATGAGTAATGAGCTCATGAGCAGATACACGTAAAGGAATAGGTTGGTGAAAAATCACATTTGGGCCTATACAAATTCCCACTCACCTCAAAAACAGTCATGCTTAGTGTCTGAAGGTGTCTGCTTTAGTTTTACACTGGAGATAATGTACAAGGCTAGAGCAGCTTAACAAGCAGTAAAAGATTATACCACAGCAATTAGCATTGCACAAACTGCATGCCTGAAACTATGCTGAGTTGTTAAGTAATCTCAAATAGATTTGCTTATGCAGCTTCTGGCACCATAGGACAAACTGTTATCTATGAAAATGGACAAAAGTATGTCACATAAAGAAGAACAGTAGTAACAGCCATCTTAAAACCTAAGTTTTGCCTATCTTTTGTTGATGTCTTGGCTGACTGACGGCCTTTGGGGCTGGGGGGAAAACTGTGCAAGTTAGATTTTTTTTGTCAAACTATTCCTTTAATCAAAGTCCATCCACCTCTGCCTATGTTTCTATCACCCTTAAAATCTCTCTAAATCAACTTAAACAATACAACTGGATTGAAAGTCATAGATGTTCATGTAGCTGAAGACAGTGCTTGCATTCTCAACCTCATATTCTCCTTGCACTCACTCTCTCTCTCCTTGATGCTGTCAGTGGGTTGAGGCCAAGCTCCAAGCAATATCGACCCAAACTACGACTGCCATCCTTTCTGAAGAGACTGAGTATCCCCAGACAGCCCCAGGAGAGGATTGTTCCTGGATGCAATGTGTGAGTATTCCTCTTAACCTCTTAACATTGCACTTAACTGCATACCTCCTGTCAGACTGCTCCAGCTGATGATACAACGTAAAGATATGCGCACAGCAATCAATGCATTTCAACATGTCAGTGTTGTGCATGTTTATCCCAGGAGCATCCAAAATATATATGTTGCAGTCGTGTTATGACTCAAGCATACATTCCTTCTTGTCCAATCAGAGCATTAGAGACTTACAGTGATGCTCTTATGCAAACAGAAACAAAATCTCCACTTTCTTGTTTACTAGACTACACATTATAGCACATACGTACTTTGAATTACTTTACTGTTGCACAACACTGTAACGGCAATGTGCTCATGTGCTGCAGTCAAGTTCAAACCATAAATGGACAGATGTGTGAAGGAGGGGGAAGGCTGAGTAAACACAAAGAATAAATGGAGCGCTAATAAAAGACGCATTAACCAAAACACTTCACCATCCATTTAACTCACCCATATGCGCTAAAGCAGTGGCTCTGCCAAAAATGTACAGTTTTATCCTAAATGTAATCATTTACAATGGTTGTTATCTATCTCTGATATATATATATATATATATATATATATATATATATATATATATATATATATATATATATATATATATACATGTAGACAGATATTGTCGTTGTGAGAACAAAATTTTACAAAGTTTTGTAGCTCATACTTTTGCAACATACTTTTGTCCATACACCACATAAACAAGTCCATTTGAGATTACTTAAGAACTTAATTTGGTGTGTAATGATTTAGGCATACAGTTTGTACAATGCTAATAGCTAAGCTTCCATCACTTATCAGCAAGCCCCAGCATAAAATACAGATGCAAACTTAGCCCAAAATATGCCTACATTGGCCTTACAAGGGATAGAAATTTGTGTAAATTAGATTTGGCCAAACTCTGTCTCTATATCTAACTATATTTCTTTAAGTTTACACATGATGAATGCTTTGACATGAATTTCAATCTGATTATGACCGTTATCACATCTGCTTCTCTTTTTATTATATGCTAATTTTTTTTTTGTCCACCGCAGGCAGATGAAATCCTGGCGAAGGCTTTCAGGGGAAGAAACATTTTAAAAGAGGTCATGCCAGACCGGCCTCGCCGCTCTGCACAATGAACACACCCTGTTTGTTTTGCCATTGTCATTTAAAACTGGCCTGCCATGTGCCAATCAGGTCCGGATTAGCAGCAGTGGACACTGGGCCAGGGGTCTAAAGCAGACAGTGACCATGCAGACGTCTTCCTGGCTGTGTGCTTCTCAGGCCACATTTTCTGCATGAATAGCAACAAGCCGGGGGTGCTGCAGTTCTATCTGCAGGGATCTCCTCATTAGCCATTCCACCCATAATCCCTCACAGCTGCTGCGGCGGGATCTGCTTCAGCTGTTCCAACAGAGACGGAGAGAGAAAGAGGGAAAAGAGCGCAAGAGCGAGTGTCCCAGATGCAACATGGAGCTGTGTGAACAGATGGCCTCCCGAGAAAGAACTCCCTCCAACTCTAATTGCACCCCAGCGTATCCAGACAAACCCCTTTAACTTATTATCAGCTTTGCTATTTATGTTATTTATAAATTATTGTGGATTAAAGATTCAGTCAGTGAAAGCTGTCATTCTCTTTGTGTCTTCGCTGTCTCTGGTGTTCTGTTCAGGCTGATCAGGTGTGTGGGGGTGATTAACTTACCATTTGCCCTTCCCCTCTCTGTTTTTTGTTGAATTAATGATATCGCCTTTGAACCGTTTATGCTAGGGGTCTTCAGTGAACGCTGCCATCTGTGCGGCTTCCCTTGAGAGAGCGTCCCGGCCAAGATCAAGGCCCAAACCAGCCAGATACTGCGTGGTGGCACTGAAACTGAAAGTGTGCAGCCAGATTCTCACCCACTGGCACTTTATGCAGTTTAAATGTAATTTATGCATCTCTCCTCATTTGGAATGTAACGCACTTTCATCAGCACCACACAAAGCTAATGAAAAAATAATGGCAAACTTTGGCATACAGACTTACGCAGAGGTTTGGGCACCCTGGTCAAATAACATGTTTAGTTAATTTTCTAAGCGAAAATAAGTTAAAACACCCTCTATAGAGAACACCTTCGCACATAACAGCTTATTTGCTGAATCTAACATATTGGAGAAAATGCATATTTTTTGTGTTTTATTATTTCCAATATGTTGAACTCAGCAAATAAATAGAAATTGTGCACTAAAATGTGCAGTTTAGTCCCTGAAGAGGATGTTAAAGGATCCAAATCCTACATTTTTCTTCTTTTGAATTTTATTTTTTATCTTTTAGATCTTGTAGGCCACTTCTAACACTTTGTTTGGTTTTATATACCATAGATGGTCATAAATCATTTTTACATGACCATTTCCAACCTTTATTTATTAAAACAGAATTAAACAGTCTGTTTTATTAAACATATAAATGCATAGCTGAACTTCAATGCGAATGGGTGCCCATTTAGGCCTGGCCTCTTAGATAACATTTGGGGTAATGCTTTTATTATGAGTCTCCCCCTGTAGATGGTTCATAGATAGACCTAAACAGCTAGTCTTTAATTAACATTCAACTAAATATGCAACCAAACAATCCGTTGAATATCATACATTTGATTAAAACTCTAAACCTTATCCTATTCTTAGTTTCAACCTAAAACCTAAATGTAGTCATAAACCTAACTTTAACCCTAATGCTGCTGATAGTCTCCTGGCGTTTACCAAATTGTTTGTTAACAATTTGAAAGTCTGTAAATAAATTATAGGGGGCTATCGAAATAAATTGTGCCTACATTTAGAGTATTTGAAATATATATACTTGTAATATATATACTTGTATGATATACTCATCGTCCATTTTATCAGCTCCACTTACCATATACACTTTGGATTTCTACTGCAGTCCATCTGTTGCTCTGCATACTTTGTTAGCCCCTTTTACCCTGTTCTTCAATAGTCAGGACCTCCACAGGACCACCACAGAGCAGGTGTTATTTGGGTGGTGGATCATTGTCAGCACTGCAGTGACACTGATGTGGTGGAGGCGTGTTAGTGTGTGTTGTGCTGGTATGAGTGGATCAGAAGCAGCAGTGCTGCTGTCCACTCACTGTCCACACTAGTAGACACACTTACCTTGTTGGTTCACCTTGTAGATGTGAAGTCAGAGACTATAGCTCATCTGTTGCTGCACAGTTTGCGTTGGTCATCCTCTAGTCCTTCCTCAGTGGTCACAGGACACTGCCCACAGGACGCTGTTGGCTGGATATTTTTGGTTGGTGGACTATTCTCAGTCTAGCAGTGACACTGAGGTGTTTAAAAGCTTCAGCAGCACTGCTGTGTCTGATCCACTCAGACCAGCGCAACACACACTAACACACCACCACCACATCAGTGTTACTGCAGTGCTGAGAATGATCCACCACCCAAATAGTACCTGCCCTGTGGTGGTCCTGTGGGGGTCCTGGCCATTGAAGAACAAGGTAAACGGGGGCTAATAAAGTATGCATAGAGATAGATGGACTACAGTCTGTAACCGTAGATCTACAAAGTAAGAAGTTGAGCTGATAAAATAGACCAATGAGTGTAGATACGAGTGGTTTTAATGTTATAGCTGATCAATGTACATACACAGAGAGGTGTGAGAAAGTAAGTGCCAGATTTGGTCTTTGTAAACAATGTGGGTGTTTGGACAAACAGATAGAAGATCTAATAAATAATACCAAAAGACACTGAAGGGTTACGTTTCAAAGACGCATTAAACACATTGTTCTTGATATGTATATATATACATATGTATTGCTGGGCTTTACAAAAACAAGTAATATCAGTAATATGGCTTATGATAAATACCACTTCATTAGAGAAATGGAAAAATGTTTTGAAAAAAATGCATTGTACAGTACAGTGCAAAAGTACTGTGTTGTTTACTAAATTTGCAGTCAAAACGGCAACTAAGTACAAGTTATGGACTGATGAGTCTAAGATCTGAGATCGCTGGAAGTAACAGAAGAAGCAGCTGAGGCAGTGAAAGACTTTTGCACCATGTCTACAACCATCAGTCGAGCATGGTGGAGGATCAGTGCAGATACAAGGATATGTAACAATTGGAGGCATTATGAATGTAGTCAAGTACAAATACATTTTAATCTATTTCTAATTTAATCTATAATCTAAATGTAAATACTTATCAAACAAAGAAGCTGCTGGTGTTCTCAGAATAATGGACTGACCACCCCAGAATCCAGACCTCAGCATCACTAAATGTGTTCTGTTGTATGAAGCTGAAAATCCAAAAAATAACCAACTACTAAGACTGAGCTTTGGGGTTGGGGAAAAATATCCCTGCACAGTTCTTAGAAAAACTGAAAGCAAGTCTGAAAAGATTGGAAGCTTTGATAAACACAGAGTGCACACACTAAATACTGAAAAAATGATATTATATTATTTGTTGAGGCTTCTGTGTAATTGTCTGTTAAATATATGTTTTCTACTTTTTCCCTGATACTGAAAAATAAATAGCCTGTACTTAACTGATGCTTGGCCTGGAATATAAATAAATGAAAGGGTGGTCTCAGGCTTCTGCACCGTACTGTACATCAGCTCTTGTTCTTTTAAAACGTCTTCTTGTTACAAATGGAGTTACAGCATTTTGGAATGAAACTCTTCACTTATTCTTTGCGATTACTGTCTCAACAGTAAACCCACCCATTCCCAAGGTAAAGTTTTCAGCTATTATCTCTGATAACTGGTTTCTCTTGACACAAACTGCATCGAAACTAATGCCACTGGTTTTATAGAGTAGTTGGAAAAGCCCAGCTCTATTGTAAATCATACAGGTGAGTGACGAGAGATCAACAGTGCCAAAATCAACAGTGCTGTCAGAACGTCTGAGCCAACAGGATTTAACAATAGGAAAGTAATAGAAATTCCCACAAGGCAGCTCATGTGACAAGCTAAAAACGGTTATGGGTCGGGTTAGATTTAGCTGTCATAACTTGTAACTTGACTTGTGTGAAATTCAGCATAATTGCTCATCCCTTAAACAGTCCATGAGAAAACAAAGCAGTCAGTAAAGACAAGACCTGATCTCTCTGAAAAGAATATGAATGCATGAGTGATCAACTTGGATCTAGAAGATTTCTTCACCAGCCTGCTCCAGACACGTGAGTTAAAGGTGCAGTTACTGGCCACAGTGCAAGGCATCGCATCTATTCAGACCTCAGATTTTTACAAGGATTGTGCTATCATCTATTTAAACCCAAGGCATTAACTGAGATAGTAATATCATCATTTATAGGGTTCTTTGCTTTGGGGGGTGGCTGGCCCAAATCTTACTCAATTAAATTTACACTTGTAAATATAATTCTTACATTTTTAAACGCTTTTTAATCTTTTATAGTGATGTTGAAAGATCTAGATTAGTGCTAAGCTTAATTAAAAAAAAAATACCCAGTTGGTAGAATGATCCATATAGGCCCTAGTAATCGTTCACTTCTAACTAAAGGGGAATTCCAACAATTTTCAAAATTTCTTCACAATTTAAAAAAAAAAGATCATTCATCAGAGAGTTTAGATGTGAGATGGTTCATTGTAGAGAGACTTAATGACTTTTGATGAGATTTCTTTACAGTGGTGATGATAGGAACCAGGGGTTGCCATGTCTACAACACAACTATAGCCATTTTATTAACTATCCAAAAACTATCAGTGTATCAGAGTTTTTATGCAGATTTACACTATTAAAAAAGATGGTTCTTTGCATGGTGCAATGGTTCTTCAGATCGATGGAGAATGTGTTGTATATGGTTCTACATAGAACCTTTATGAAAATGTTTCTATTGGACCTAAAGGTGTTTTACTATTGTTACAAGCTTGACATCATAACAGTAGAAGAACCATTTAAGCATGAAATGCTTCTATATAGAACTCCTGGTTCTAAATAGAACCACTTTACTAAAGAACACTTGAAGAGGCGTCTTTTTTAAGAGTCTACTATTTGGCTTTACATGTATTTGCATCCACAATGAATGGATTTTCAGTGTCTCAGACATTTGGCAACATATTTGTAACCATTTTGTTTAAGAACTTTCTGTGAGGGAACTTTCAGAGGCATCAAACTCCTCGGATGTCTGGTTACTATCACCTCCACTGTGAACAAGTTTTACTGTAAGTTTCTCTAGAACGACACAATTCACATCAAACCACTCTGAATGACTTTGTTTACAACAAAACGATGTAATTATGCAGACATTTTGAAAAATTGGTGGAATTTTCCTTCAATGCAAGGCATCATACCTGCTTCCAACCAAAATTGAACAGAAGAATTTTTAATACATAATGGAAGCAGTGTGGTTTGGGCATGCTGGGGAGCTGCTTTGCTTCCTTCAGGACCTGGTTGATATTACGAATTCAAAACCTGGTTCTAAATCAAAAGGCCAGATCAATTGAAATGTTGGTTTTGAATGGACTTGAAGCAGCATGTACTGTGTAGGCAAAAAAGCCCTTAAACATCCTAAAGAGTCCATCAGAGCAAAAACAAAAACACTTTTTTGGCTAAAAGGGGCAACGGTAGTCATTCAGATTAGTGGTGCACTTACATTTTTCCCCAGCACATGGCACTTCTGCTGATTGTGCTAGTGTGTACCAAATATGCTACAAAAGACAAAACTTTACAGAAGAGAGCAACTTTCTTTCTCACTACATTGGATGAAAATAATGGCAGGTTTCCATTGTTCTTTTGTGCAATAGCAGAACACCAACCATTCATCTGTATAAAAGGATTTTGAGCTGTTTTCATGAAGCATCTGCCATCTATTATGGGTGGGGTATGAGAGCTGACTGCGATCACTAAGCCTCTTTTTTGGCCTGTCTATACTGTAGCAGATGCACTTGTGCCATCATATTTAAGTAAACCACATGACTCTGTAAACTTGTCGACACTAAAAAGGAAAGACAGAGCTGTGATTCAGATGCATTTGTCAGGGTGAGACTGTTGGATATAAAATGGAAACTTCCAATTGTTTTACCTTAAGGTCAATTGTTAGATTCCTTGGAAACACTTATCAGGTGGAAAAACACGACGTTTGACTTCCAGTGAATAAGAACTGAAAATGAAAGTGACAGTGGAAACATGTCTAGTCAGTATCTCATATTTCTCATTATGTTGTAAGAATGTGATAGGACTATCCAACTTACAGACATTCTTGCGCATTGCAGTTCATTTTATCTTGTGAAATTATCTTATTCCAGATAATTTTGTTTGTTTTAAGTGTTTTTTTTTCTTCAAACAAAATTATCTGATAAAAAATGTCTGAAACTAGGTAGAATAATCTTATAATATTCTTTCAACAATCTCATCATAAGAAATTTAAGATTTCACTTGCCAAGATGTATTTTTCTGCATGGAAATTCTCTGAGAAAAAAACAAACAAAAGTTTTCGGAAGCAGTATCACTGACCATCTCAGAAAACGTCTACCACCCCAGTTTCAGGCAACACAGTCAGGGCATGGCAGGGAAAGACACAGATGAGACAGAGTTTCAGTTACGGCTATGCTGAACCTGCTAGGTCACTACTGGCTCCCATTTTATTAAGGCAGCAACATGCTGCAACATGTTCAAAGACTCTGTTGCTTACTCTTCACGGAAATACCTGACCTAGTTCACTCATTCTGGAGAAGGAAGCACATGTTGATGTATATGCTGCTTTCCACAAGCAATGCTGACTGTATGAGCAGATCTTGGCTGAATGAAACATAAGCATCTATGAATAATGTTCTATTGGCTTTTGTAGAGTGCAAGTACAAAGATACTATATAAGCAGGTACACTGCCCAAAAATCACTGTAAAATTTACAGTTAGTTACTGGCAGCTTAGTTGCTTGCAAAGTACTCTAAATATACATATACAGTCATTTAATACTACACTGTAAAAAAAAAAAACGACTTAAATCAACCTTAATAATTACTTCATGTGGTAACAAGTAAATTAACTAGTTTTATTCAACCTAAATAAGTACTTAAGTAATAAGTAATTTTTTGAGTGGAAGAAAACTAGTTCAATTTTTTATTTAGGTTGAACTGACAAGCCATTTTTCTATACAGTATTAAGCAAAATGTTTTAAATTCACAATTACGGTTTGGCTTGATATCTCTACAGGATTTAACCAAACTATACAGAGTCCAGTTGTGTGTGGAATTGTTGTTTTTAAAACTATAGAATAATTAATCTAACTGTAAAATTATCCTAATTTCATGCTAACGTTGTATGTGCTTCAAAATATATGTAGGAAGCTGCAAATACTGAGAAATTGTCAAAGACGAACGCAGTTGTACATCAGAGTTTCTTAATCCTGCTCGAGTTTTTGAACTAGAAATACTCAAAATTCTGCAGTGTTGTGAGTTGCTAGGACCAGGATTAAGAAACAGAGGTGGACAATATGGGAAAAATATAATATTGCGATACTTGAAGAAATTTTCACGATACGAGATACAATATTTATACAGTACTCTTTGAGTAGTGATGATGTGCATGATATACTCAGAAAAGACTATTGTGACATACTGTAACTCAACTGATCACAACAAATGTTGCCCAGCCTTATTAAGAAACACTGCTGTAGATGATTCCATAATAACTGAGGACCGAACTTATAATAAAAGTAATATCCAGTATGCCTCATTGGAAAAAAGCAGTGACCAAATCTCACTGATTCAACATCTAGTAATTTTGCTACAAGACATTACTAAATGAAAAATTACAGTTTATGATTTAATAACTTTGGCTTTTTTTTTTTTTTACCAAATTAGAACTTCTTGTTGTGAATAAACCATCAGTTTAGTTTGTAACATTTTAATCTTCACTGTAGGAGTTATTACTGAATAACAATGATCAATAGGTCAAGTGATTGCAAACTTCTGAATGGGACTGTATATTGCTTGATGTCTTATAAGATCAATTATGGCTCCACATGCCTGTTCCCAAGTTTGCACTGTTGTAATCCCAGCACTTTTAAATGAAGCAGTGGATCATCCAAGATGGGCAAAGTCTACAGATGCATTAATAAGGTTTTTGTGGGGAAAAACATGAGCAAATCAGTCTTTCTCGCTGTCACTAATACTGAAAATGATGATTATATTATGATGATGATGAATATTATCATTAAAGTGCAATAACATGGGTTAGTTTTGGTTTGTGAGTCACATTAACAAAAGACAGAGACATTACCACTAGGTAATAAGACTTTTTTATTGATTTTTATTGATTTGGACAGACATGCTAGATCTCTGTACAATGTGAATGGAGAGCTAGCCCTGAATCAATCAGACTCGCTCCTCTGAGTCAAAACATTTACACTAGGAATGGCCTTACCCTTTAAAGCAGGACCCAACTTACACACAGACATTTCGCCAAGGATGGTGTGTAGTACTGTGCCAACAGAAGAATGAACAAATCACATATTCACTGCTGTTTTGGTACACACCTCATAAGGGGATAGACTATATACATCCTGTTCATGCCAAATCATAGAGCAGAAACTCTCTACATAGATAGATTTCAACTGGTGGTAGAAACAAAAATAAGGGAAAAGCGGAACAGTATGTAAACAAATTGTAAACAAAATATAAAGGTGCAAAAGCAAAAGGTTAAACAATCAACCAGTAAATACTCTCACATCCCAGCTATACTCTCTAACTATGAGCATACCGCTAAACTGTCAGCTTCTATGCCTTTCAACAATATCTGAAGGCACCAGAAATATAACAGGGCAAAACTGAGATTTATTAATAGTAACAACACAGAACAGACTTCATCTGTGCTCTTCTGTAGGTGGTGCCATCAGCAGATCGGTGTGGATGTAATATTTCACAGTTGCCTTTGTGTGAAGAGTGTTTTGCCATTAAGCTTCTTCCATATCTGCATGTTCAGTACATATTCCCTTCCATTTGGTAGCGGGGGAGTCCTACGAGGCAGCCAGGCAGGTCAGTAAAAGCATTTAGAGATACAGAGCAGAGACAGTCCAGTTCGAAAGCAGTTATCTTGACTAAAAGCGGCTATATTACACAGCGGGGCAGAAGTGAGCTGGTCATACAGTGCAGAATGAGCCACTGATAAATTACAGAGCGGAAAACCCTATCCCATTTACAGAAAATGCTGCTACGAATTTACAGCGCCATGTTACAGGCTGATCATTTTTAATAGAACTCCCAAATCACAGCAATTTACTTCACAGGTAAGCTGAACACTCGGCCTGTTTTGTTATATGCAGTCAAAGCATTAGCTCTCAGCTCACACCAGTTTTTGGCTCATTTCGAAAAAACAAAGGGTGAAAGTGAGTGCTCTGATTATTTAGTCCTAACTTGTATTCACGCAGCTTGACAGATGGGTCATTTGTATAGACATCCTCACAGAGACCACTACAGTACAGCGAGTCGTAGGACTGGATATTAGATTTGACATCAACCTCGAAACATTTACATCTTTCTTTTAAAAAGTGCATTAAAGATTCACATGAAATAAAAGTAGTGTATGCTACCGCTCAAGTGTCTGACCTTATGGCCAGCGTACTACAGTTTACTGGCCCAAAAAAAGCAGGGGCTAACCACAGTGTGCCCCTGAACAAGGCAAGCCTATAAAACACCTACAACTCTAGATGATGCTAGCTTTCCATAGTCACCTAATATTGTTTCTTTTTTTGTTGTTTTTGGAGAATTACTACATATTCACTGATCTGAAAGCAAATGACAGGCTATATTTACAATGGAACTGGACTACACCATATTATCATGGAAAGGCCTACATGTGCAAACCTGTGTACTTAAGAACAGGAATGTCAGAGTTCAATGATCATCCTATGACAATTTAGAGAAATCAGCTCCTCAAGCCTCTGACAAATTGTCACACACTACAACAATTACAGCTCTTACAAATGTGAGAGAAATCACACTTAAAACGTGCCTTCGTTGTAACAGCAGTGTTTGGATTCTCATTCCAAATCCCAGATATTAATAAATCAGAAAGATTTCATACAGCGTGTGAGAGAAACTCGCAAAGTACTGTACAAACCAGGACAGTCTCTAAAATGACATGTTTGAGCCTAGGGCCTCTATGGTGGATCTAGATCACTCAAGAACACTGAAACACGCACAAAACTTAAAAAAGTGACGTGTGTACATGTAAGTCACATGTGTACATAAGCATTTATATGGACATCTTCAAAGTTGTGTACACATTCACCATCTGACAGGATCTAGTGGAATGAAATGATTAAAACAACAACAAAATAAAAGTCTTGCATGCATGCTTGCTTTGTCTATTCATCCAGTAATTATTGTTCAGGTTCCCTGTCTGTTACAGTGTTTCTCGTTCTAGCAAACCTTTTTAAACGCCTCGTCTACCTCCTTTTTGACCTTTCCTTGAATATACAAAAATACAAAACAAAAGAAACAAAAGACTACCCTTCTAGTTTTTTTTTTTTCAAAAAAAGTATACATGTTTGGACTTTGTTGGCTTTGTTGATTCTTTTCTGTCTCTTTTCAAATTTTTAAAACCTTTTTTTTGGCAATTTTGTTAATAAAGTACACTATTTTACAACTGAAATGGACGTAACACTGTTTCCAACCAGTGACCCATGGTCAAATGTGAGTGCCGAATATCCAATCTTGAAAACTCAATTGGAAGCTAACCAATAGGAAGCAACACAACAAGCATGTGGTGTAAATGAAGTTGCCTGGTTGGCTGTGGGCTATTAACAGGAACAGCCCCCTTCAGTGGTGGGGGGCTCCTGCGGTTTGTCCAGCTTGATGTCAATCACTGTGGAATATGGTTAAGGAAGAAAGAAGTCATTAATTCCCATTGCATAAATGTTATCAGTCCATTAAATTCCCATTGCATACATGTTATCAGTCCATTAAATTAAACAGTTTGAACAGAATCATTCTTTTCGTACAGCATAGAAGGATTTCTGAGATGGTGATGCTGAATGCTAAACAATAACTGACCAAAAAGATCGTCCCATCCCATTATTTGCAAATAACTCTTAGGAGTCTACTGATCGTTTTTGTTGTGTGCTTTTTTTAAATAAAAACAGATTTCTATTTAATATCATAAAAAAGACAAATAAGCTTAAAAGAATGGCACATTCTCTACTGGCCCACTACAGAATAGTGTCAGACAAATTAGCTGTAATATATGGATCGCTGTTGACCCCTGGAGGCAGAAAGGCTCTGTGCAGACTGACGTACTGCAGTGCCTTCTCTTTAACACAAGAAGGCGCTGCAGCCACAAGCATGGGCTTAAACTACAGCCTGCTGTGAAACAGTCTACAATCCACAAGAAGGCTATGTTACTGCTTTGTCTTAAAAAAATGTTTTTTTTTTCTACAAACATTTAATCTACTAATGTAAAACAACAACATCAGCATTGCTGTTTTGTATGTGATAGAGGATGTGTTGTCTTTCTTAGTGGGATGGTAGAAAGTGTGATGGAAAGAAAAAAGAGATAAGAGAGAGAGGTAAGGGTGTGGTAGGCTCCTAAAGAAAGGAGACAAAGTTCAGTTTAGTGTATAATTTGATATTTTCCAGTTAAAGCAAAGTTTGAAAATATATGAATTTTTATTCATCGTGATATATTCATGTGGTTCCACAAGGCATGATCAGATGAGAAAGAGGCTCTATAAAAATCTGTCCTTCATCATATTGGTAATAGCTAGCTATTTCCCATAGGAATATTCCACCAATTTTCCAAATAATTAAATTAGTTAACATGTAAACAAAATAACTCTGAGTAGTTTGATGTGAAACGCTTTGTTCTAGAGAAACTTACCAACTCAGAATCAGGACTGGTGATTGGAACCAGACATCTGAAGCTTCTAATGCCTCTAAAAGCTATATAAAAGTAAGTTATAAATACATTATAAATACAAAATACACTGCCTGATGCCTGATGAGACACTGTTTTGCCACAGTTTTGGAAAAAGGTTGTGGCCTAAAATATTTTTTTAATTGTATTCTAGAGAGGTACATGCAGGTCATCGTATGGAAAAATAGTTCCCAAAGAAAATTATTATAAATTATTTTTAGATTTATCACTATTTTACCATTATCAACATTACATATATAAACACAGGAGACACAAGTAGGTTCACTGGTGGTTTTAGATATTAAATGAAATGGCTATATTTGTGTTGTAGACATCGCAGCCCCTGGTTCTTATTACCTCCACTGTAAAAAAACAATCTGAGCTAACAAGCGTCTCTACAATGAACCATTTCATATCAAACCCATCAAACCACTCTGAATGACTTTCTTTACATCTCCACGACTCAATTACACAGAAATAAAATCAAAATAATTGACAAAAATTGGTAGAATTCCCCTTTAAGCAAAGCACTTAATAACGGTTGATTAGTTTGTCTTATCCAAATCGACTTAAAAAATGTGCAGAGCGCGGAAGCCAAACTGACACAAGACTACTGTAGCTTCATCTAAAAGAAACAAATCTAAACCTGAGAACAAAAAATACTGTTAAATATAATATATATAATTAAATATAATATAAAATGACTAGAAATAATACTGGCCCTCTTTGAGGAAAGGTTTGGAACTAGTTAAATGAGAACATTGACAGACATAAGCTCATTAACATTATAATTTGAGTTTATCTGAGCAAATAAATGTGTTCTGCCCAGTAAACAGCTTTTTAAATCTAATTTCTTCAGGGATATACAGTGCCCTTCATAAGTAATGGCACCCCGGTAAACATGAGCAAAACAGGCTGTAAAAACATTCTTTATTGCTTATCCTTTCGATCTTTCACTCAAAATATTAACACAAATCTAACCTTCATTTAAAGTTCAATGATTGAAAAAAACTGTTATCAGGAAATAAATATTTTTCTCAAATCTATTTGTGTCACAATTGTTGGCACCACTTCATTTAATACTTTGTGCAACCTCCCTTTGCAAAGATAACAGCCCTGAGTCATCTCCTATAATGCTTAATGAGACTGGAGAACACATGGCAAAGGATCTGAAACCATTTCTCCATACAGAACATCTCCAGATCCGTCAGATTCTGAGGTCCACACTGTGGACTCTCCTTTTCAGCTCATCCCACAGGTTTGGGGGTGGCCATGGCAAAACCTTAATTCTGAGGTCAGTGGACCACTTTTTGTGTTGATTTTGAGGTGTGCTTTGGATCACTGTCCTGCTGGAAGATCCAAACTGTGGTATGTGCTTCAGTTTGTTCTTCTGGCAACCCCCCCAAACAAGTTGTGGTTATAGAGGTGGTGTCTGATTGTGGTTTGGGAGACATTCTGACCCAAAGACCTAACTAATTTTTGCAATTCCCCATCTGTGATCCTTGGAGATTCTTTGTCCTTCTTCAAACCATCCTCCTCACTGTGTGTGAGGTCAGTATAGACATAGGTCCTCTTTCCAGCAGGTTCTCAACATCTAGAGTTGTTTTAAAACTAACTATTGCCCTGACAGCAGAATTTTTGAACTGTTTGGCCTATGCAAACCCTGCATAGGACAGTAGTCTATGGCACTCAGTAAACAGAGATAAAGGTGTAGCAAGGCTGCCATCATGCTCTCCTATATTGGTCGTCATGTCCAGCAGCAGCTGTAATGGTAAATGCTGCTGTCCTCTGGGGACTTCAGCAGGCGGAAAGAGTTTCAAGGACACAGAATGTTATCAGTCAGAGAGACTGGCAATGATTCACTGCACTGAATGAAGTGTGACGTGTTTTTATTTGCATTCATGAATAACTGTGTATGTGTGTGTGGGAGGAGGTTAATGTAACCAGTCTATTGGGACTACAGGCACACCTGCCATGTAGACAAGCTTTTAAAAGAAACACCATCAATAAGGCACACGACAAATGCACAAATGCACAGAAGCATACACAGAGCAGCAAATTAAAGAAAGAGATCCCTCCGTAGTTTTCACTTTCTGAAGCTGAACACACCTGCTCTAACCTTTAGCAAGTGGAGGCTGATTTTCTTTTCTGGCCTCCATGATTCTCTAGACTTGACCCCATCTTGGCCATCTAGACTAACCTATAGCACATAGTAATGTAAATAAAACACTTAACTAGCTACACAAATACCTCTAGTTCAGCATGTTACAATCATGAAATCATATCTAGTCATATAAAGAACTGAAATTAACAAATTAATTGACTTTTTGTGTTCACTGTATGCATTGTGTGACTAGCCATCTTGCTTTTTAGCTGTTGATATTAGTAGCTCTCAACTGAAGACAGAAACAGCATCTCAAAAACAAACATTACTCAGTGCTGCCCTCTTGGGCACTATTAATATATTGACTTTTTAACTGCACTCCTAGCAGTAGGTGTTATGCCTGTGTGACTTACATTTATTATAAAAGAACTTTAAGCTCAGGATCGGTAATATCTTATAAATGACAGCCAATTTAAAGAGAGTTTACACAAATGCTAGTGGGTATATCTGTGTATCATTTAGACTACACGCCTGCTTTACAGTAGCCAATATGCTCAACTGATCTAAGACTGCACAACAAAGGGGAATTACCACACTTCTGAGTGACCACAAATCTTCCTCTCTCTCTCTGCTCTCCCCTTCCAGCAGTAAGCATTTGCCAGTGTTCAGGAAAGTAATTTATTCAGAAAGGACTTCAGACAGACTAAAACAGCCTTAAGGGAAGAACACGCCCAGGAGCACTTAAACATACAGCCATGTTTGAGGCAATATTCATTATTACTGAGCATAAAAATATATTTCACATACTTTAATCTCAGCTATTACCATCATAGGCAACAACAAATAACAAATAATGTCTCTAGCTGGTCAAATCAGCCCAAAGTGGAAGTGAAATCACTGTAGCTAGAAGTGTAGATGATGTGTTTAATGTACTCCTGCAGCTCTCCAAAAAGGCAATATTACTGCATTATGTTTCTGATGATAAATCCAGTGCTTAAATGTTTTTGCTTCTTCTCTCTCCTTTCTCTCTCTCTCTCTCTCTCTCTCTCATACACACACACACACACACACACACACACACACACACACACACACACTGGTATTCCTGTCTTAGTGGGGTGATTCCACTTGCAGCTTTAATCGGCCTTGAAATTTTAAACCTTAATACAGCCCAAGCCCAACCCAACCCATAGCAAGTTTTTTTTGTTGTTTTTTCCCCAATTTTCTCACCAAATTTAGTCATGTCCACCCAGTAGCTAGGTCTATCTGAATCACACAATACTACCAGCGCTAAGAGTGTGAAAGCTATCACCTGCTTACTCCAAGACATGCTTTTAAAACTGCTGCTAACTTGGCATTACTGGACAGCTGAACATACTATGAGGAGAATGCTAACTGCCAGCTCTGTTACATCAGCTTTGAGTAAAGAGGCCAACTGTGCTCGCTTCGACTGCTGGCCACGGATGGCTGTAGACCAAACTTGCAATCTCCTAATGCTAATGCTCCTAATGCTCCTAATAGACAACTGTGGCACTTAGGAGACTACAGCAGTAGGTTTGGAGTCTGAAACTGATCCGAACTGGCCCATCATCATCAACCAAAGTGCTAAATAAAACCTGACATTTCTATAATAATGCCAGTTAAATTACCATATAATGACAATAATAGCTGTCATTTGATAATTTTTTCATACTGTGCCGTGCTCTATATCTTTACACAGAACATATTAAATATAACATATTAAACATATAAAAATATTTTGTCCAAACAAATTGAAAATGTGTTCTTTTGGCTGCACTTCACTGTATTCTCCTGAATCAATCAGCTGTTTTCCATCATCCAGGAGATA